CGGCCCTCCGCCGCCGAAGGGGGGCGGGCAGACCGCCGAGCGGGCCGTCCGGAGGCCCACGGGCCTCGCCGGCTGTCGCAGGCTGGCCTCCGCAGGGCCTGGTCGCCCAGTGGCCTCTGAAGGGCCTGTCTGGTGGTCTCAGTCTCCTTTGGGCCCCTGTTCCTGGCCGCTGGCGGGCCGCGCGCCACACGGGGCCTGCACCACTGCATGGGCATCATGTAGGCTCGGGCGGCGTCGACGCGCGCAAAGGTTTTTGACGCCGCGTCGTTCGTTCGAACTTGAATCGATCGCGGCCTCGATCGTTCCAGATTTATTTCCATCGGATCCAACGGCGTTGCAGTGTCCCTCGGCGCTTCAGCGTCGCAGAGTTCAACCTTGAACGCCTTCGCTCGCCGGCGTCGACGGCGCGCCGACGCCGCATGAACCTACCATATCTCCATAACCACTGCACGTTGGAGCTTCGGGCCCCCATTCCCAGACACCCGCGGCGCAGCTGGTGTGGACAAAGATCTGGTCCCTAGAGGCCAGAATGCTATCCAGATCTACCACGCTTCGGTTTTTTGGCACCGTTTCCCAGAAAGTCCAAGACGCAGCGGGTATGGATACAATCTTGCTCGCACTTTTGTCACGTGTGTTGCTTCTCGCACCCTGGTGAAGCAAAGCCTGGAGCTCCTGAGCTCCTCTCCTGCAATCAGGGCGCCCGTGGCCCACTTTGGGCCTCCCTGAGATTCTGGCCTCTCGCGGCCATCTTGGACGGTCTTGGAGCTGTCTTGAAGGCCTCTGAGCGTCCTCTGAGGCGGACGCCGGAGTCGTGCGCGCAACTCTGGGGAGGCCGTGGCATCAAAAATGTGATGAGTGGGCGGACGGCTGATACCCAGCACATTTCGATTGAGCTGGTGTGCTCATGTTGTCGTGGTTCGGTCGGTCGTGATCGGGAGCAGGGAGTGGGCAGGCTGGAGGGGGAGAGAGGATGAAGCTTTTTTGCTCACCGCGGGGCTCGACGGACGCGCGAGGAGGGAGAATAGAGATCTCCAGAGCTCTCCTGGAAATGTTCAAAACTCTCGGGAGGTCCCTTGAAGCTCATGGTAGCCTCCAGTGGCCCAGAGAAGAGCCCAGAATCCCGTCCATCGCCCCTCGATAGTCCCTCCTGGAGAGAGGGCGAGGGGGAGAGGGAGGGAGGGAAGAGGGGGAGGGGGAGGGGGAGGGGGAGGGGGAGGAGGAGGAGGAGGAGGAGGAGGAGGAGAAAGAGGAGGGAGGAGGAGGAGGAGGAGGAGGAGGAGGGAGCACGAGGAGGAGGAGGAGGAGCAGGAGGAGGAGCAGGAGGAGGAGCAGGAGGAACGAGGAGGAGAGCCGCTGCCTCTCGCGGGGGGGGCTCCACCGCCCGGCCCCTTCCGACGGGGCGGGGGGGGGCCCGAGCGGGAGCGGATGGCCATGCGCGGCGCCCGCAGGCCTCGGGTAACGGCCAACGGCGTGGGGCCCGCGACCAAGGTGCAATAATCGTTTTTTTCCTCTGGTGTAATTGAAGGGGCCCCAGGACACACAAATAAATACACACAAATAAAAAAAATCCCCATATTTTCCCATCTTGTCTGGGTTTCTGTCTTCCCCCCCACTGCCCATATTTTCCCATATTTTCTGGGGGATCGAGGATTAATTGTGTCTGTGTGTTTCTGTTCCTCTGGTGTAATGTATATCCCAGGGTTAGGCCCAAAATTTCTGGTCCCTTCGAAGCCCCCACGAAGCCTGGGCTAGGGGTCGGCATATCCCTTGTTAGATTGAAAGCGAGCAGGAGCCCACCAGCTAGAGTGCAGGGAGCAAGGCGACCAGGAGCTCGACCACAAGAAGCCTTCCACAATCGGAAGCCGGGCAAGGGCTGCTAAACCCGTGGCTGCTGAAATCGACCTCCGGGAGGTCGTCTTCGCCCTTCCGGGAAGAAGCCCGTTCACTGTTTCGCGTGCCGCGCCTCATTCCGGGAAGTTGTTTTTTCCTTCCGGGAGGGCCGTTTTAGCAGCCACGGTTTTGGCAGCCCTCGCCCAGTTCTCGACATAAGAAACCCAGCCCTGAGACAACAGGACGTCCATTGATTTTTGGTTTGGGAACGTCAGGCTCCCCATTGCAAAACCGTCGAAACCCAAGAAACCCAGGGCACCCTGGAGGCAAGTAGAGTGCTTCCTGGCATGGGTTTCCACTGCACCCACCGCCAGCGCCAACACCGTCCCCAAGCACTTTGAGGCCAACGCGTGCAACGAGATCACAGGCTTGCCGCCAAGCTCTACCCGCATTCGCGGAGACCCACGAGTACGTGGAGTCCATCGTCCCCTTCAAAGAGCACATCAATCCAGAGTCTCCGCCATGCGCCGACTCGAATACGCAGTGCGCAAAGAAAGGACTCGCACCAGACACTAAATACACCGTAACGGTCCTTTTGGGAGCATGCGGCCACAGACGATGTGCGCGCCGCCGGAGCCTGACGACCACCTCGACTTCAGCGACAACCTGCGTAACATGCAGGAGACCAGCAACCTCAACAGAGAGGCGCCGGAGTATAACCCCAAGCTCATCACGAACATCCTGGAACCCGCCTCAGGGCACGAGCATGTCTAGTACGAAAACAAGTCCGGCTACCAACACTGCATCCAGTATGACAACCAGCACGGCTACGCCAGCTACCACGAATACCAGTACGACAGCCAGCACGGCTACCAGAAGGAGTTCCAGGATATGCCCCCTTGGGCGCTCGATCCTGGAGTAGACCCGAGCATTAGCCCTGAAAAGAACGTCATGGGTATCACCCCAAGGGATCCCTTGGCGGCCCCCCCACCTGGCCCTTCGGGCTATGTCGCCAAGGGCCCCTCCCCCTGTCCCCACGGCTGCATCCGCCACGAAGTTCTCAGCAGCGGAGCTACACCCGCGAAGGCCTCGCCCGCGCAACTACAACGCCGCCCTCGTCGGCGGCACCTTCGGCACCGCCAGTTGCAACAACTTCGGCGACTACAACGCCTACAACGGCGACTCCAGCTGCAACCCCGCCAACTTCGACGTGTACCACAACGACGACGCCACCAGCGGCAACGCCGCCAGCTACAACGCCGCCATCCTCTTCGCCAACGACAGCGCCCCCGACGGCCAGAAGCCCAAGGGGGCCGCCTGCCTCACCGAGGGGCCTCTGCCACTAGCGCTCCCGCCTGCAGCGCAAGGCCCGGCCTGGGGCTGAGGTGACACGGAGGCGAGAGCCAGCTGGAGGCCCGCCAGAAGGCCGCGCGGATCGCGGCTGTCCCCTCCATCGACGCCGATGATGACCGCATTGAACTCGGACTGGAGGACAAGCGTACGTAGGGGCTTCGTTGGCCGTTCCGTGCTTGGGGGGCCCTGTCCTCCCTCCCCCCGCCTCCCGTCGTCGTGCGCTGGTCCGTGCCTTCGGGCCCGCTTCGTCCTCGCTTTCGGGCCCCTCGTTGCGTCTCCCCTCCTCCCTCGTCCCTCGCCGGCTCCCCCCCCCCGCCGGCGCGGAGATCGGCAGCGTCGGGAGACACGGATACCAGCAGGTGCCAGGTGCCAGGAGGAAGCAGGAGAGAGCTGGGAGGTTTTTCCGCGAGGAGCAGCAGCAGAGGCAACGCGCGTACACTGCTGAAGCCGAGGCCCCCCCCGTCCCACGTCTGCTCGCGCGGCGCGGAAGCAGCGGAGAGGAGAAGCCAGCATGATGAGCCCAGGAGGAGAAGGAGGGAGGAGGAGCCCACGAGGAGAAGGAGGAGGAGGAGGAGGAGCAGGAGCAGGAGAAGGAGGGCGAGGAGGAGGGGGGGAGGAGAGGAAGAGGGGGAGGAAGACGGGGAGGAGGAGGAGGAGGAGGAGGAGGAAGAGGAGGAGGAGGAGGGAGGAGGAGGAGGAGGAGACGGAGGAGACGGAGGAGGAGGAGGAGGAGGAGGAGGAGACGGAGGAGGAGAAGGGGAGGAGGAGGAGGAGGAGGAGGAGGAGGAGGAGGGGAGGAGGAGGAGGAGAAGGAGGAGAAGGAGGAGGAGGAGGAGGAGGAGGAGGGGGAGGAGCCCACGAGGAGGAGGAGGAGGAGGAGGAGGAGGAGGAGGAGGAGGAAGGGGAACAGGAGGAGGAGGAGGAAGAGGAGGAGGAGGAGGAGGAGGAGCCCAGGAGCAGCCCAGGAAGAGCCCAGGAGGAGGTAAGGAGGAGGAGGAGGAGGAGGAGCAGCAGCAGCAGCAGCAGCAGAAGCAGCCGCAGCAATCCAGGCGCGGCAGCGCGCAGGGCGCGCCACGCCGGCTGACTCGGGCAGTGGCCCCGACGGCGAGAGGAGGCTCGGGCACGCCCAGCCGAAGAGCAGCGGGCAGCAGCAGTCGAGGGTGGACAGGGACCAGCAGTGAGGAACATCGATATGGGGGGGGACTGGCATAGGGGGGGAAACATCGACCTGGAATCGGCGATACATCACCGATAGATCGGCGATAGGCCCCAGCTGGCAAATCCGCACCTTCCTGGACGGGCCCGGGCTATCAGACCCCTATCGGCGATTAGTGGGCGATTGGGGGTCGATACATCCCCCCTATGCCTATCCCCCCGTATCGTTACCCCTGAAGTAGAGGAGGCATCAGCCGAGGAGGAGGAGGCAGAGGAGAAAGTACTTAGAGACACCTGACACACCTGGCTTCGGGCTCGTGCCATCAGACAAGCCGCCGAGGCATCGACATCAGATGCTGAGACAGGACAGGTTCGACATCTCTTGCTTGCGACCATCCCAAGCAAAGACCAGTTTGGCAGAACACCCTTTGGTGAAGACGGCGGGCGCATGCCCGCAAAGATCGCGGGCGCAACGCCCTCCCGTGAACCAAAAAAATGGTACAACTCTCTCATCGACTTGGCAGGGTGGGGGGGCGATCAGCCAATCAGCCTCCGAAGCAGCAGCAGCAGCAGCAGCAGCAGCAGCAGCAGCCTAAAGAATGAGACGAGGGAGCCCGTCTGCAGCAACTCCACCAACAGTCGGATCGGCACGGGCCGCCCTTTTCTGTGGACAAGCCTCTGGCGGCCCTCGTCAGCCACGAGCCCGCCGCTCGGGGTCCTTCGGCGGCCCCGCCCGTCGCAGTGCAGTGCTCCCCCGAGGCGCCCAAGGAGCCCGCAGGAAGCCTGCCGCGCACGCCTGCTCGGCTCGATCGCCTGACTCAAGACGGCGCTGGCGCTCCCCCGGCGGCGCCGCTGCCCCCGGCGCCGCCGGGCGACGGGCCGCCGCCGCGCCGGCCGACGATCCGGGCCAGGATGCCGTCGAGCGAGCGCGGGATCTGCTCGTACGCCCCCGCGCGCCCCATCTCGGCGAGGACCTGCTGGTTCAGGCCGCCGGCCGTCTGCCCGGCCACCAGCTGCGCGAGCGCCGCCGTGCCGCGCTCGGTCACCTCGACCTCGGTCACCCCGCCCGTGCAGCCCCGGAGGGCCTCGCGGGCGTAGCAGGCGTGGGTGGCCGCGGCGTACCGCGCGGCAGCCTCGGGCGCCACGCCCTGCGCCTCGAGCCAGCCGGCAGCGGCGCGCAGCTGGGCGAAGAGCGAGCCCATCAGCGCCGTGGCGGCATAGCACGGCGCGAAGTCGGCCTCCCGCTCCAGGCCGATGACCGCGCCGACCCGGCCGTACAGCATGGCCGCAAGCGGGTGCGGCGGATGCAGCACCGTCGTGGCATCGCCAGCCCTCGGGCTCGGGTTGCTCATCGCCTCGAGCTCCTCCTCCCCCCTCCTGCTCTTGTTCCTCCCTCTATTACACTCCCTTCACCCTTCTCTTCTTGCGGCAGCCACCGCATTCTGGAGGATCTTCCATCTCGGCCTCCGCATGCGAGGACGCACACGTGCAGCCCTGTCCCCGTAGCCCGAGGTGCGTGGCACCCCTCCACGCTTCCTTTAGAGAAATGACGGCATACAGTTGTTGTAACGCCAGGCTGAGCACTGAAAAAGTCCACTCCCCCTCCGACTCCTCCAACTCTTCCTCCTCCTCCAAATCTGGCTGGTGAGCGCCTTGACCACCCCGCCGCCATCCGGCTCCCCGTCCCCGCTGGCAGCGGGCAGCAGGCCCCCTGCCGCCACCGCCGCCGCCACCTGGTCGCGCGTCAGCCGCTGGCAGCAGCTCACCACCAGCTGGCCCCGCCGGAACCGCAGCCCGCCCAGCAGCGCGACCGCCGCGGCCGGCGCCAGCGCGTGCGGTCCGAAGTTGCCCGTGCCGACGAACACCACCCCCGCAGCGTCGACCACCGCCTGGTCGGTCTGCGCCACTGTGACCCTCCCCTCGGCGGCGGCGCCGCAGCTCCGCAGCAGCGCCGCCGCCGCCTCCGGCCGGCTGTCCCGCACGGTGATCGCGAGCTCGCCCTCGGGCAGGTCGCTGGGCGGGCCGCCGCCGGGCAGCGAGCGGAGCAGCCCCTCAATGGTCCCGCTGCCTATGGCGCCGACGCCGACGAAGCCGAGCCGCAGCGGGCCAGCGGGCGCCGCCGTCTGCCGACGGCTGCGGCTGCGGCTGCGGCTACGGCTACAGCTCCCCGTGCGCGGCGCCATGAAGGCGCGGTGAAGGGGACGCCGAGGCGCCAAAAGCTCGAGAGCGGTCAATCCCGCCCCCGCGATCCCGATGCCGCACGGCTCGGGGCCGACGCCTGAGCCAAAGTGGCTGGCGGGAGGGGAAGGCGGCGACGGCGGCGGCGACGGCAGCGAGGGCACACGCCACAGCACTGGTTGAAGTAGCGCCACAGGGTGTCGTAGTCCTCAGGCGGCGCGCGGGGACGCCCCACCCAGCATCCCAACGAGCAAACCGAGCTGAAGAGATGTCCCAGAATCAACACCTGGATACAGAAGTACATGTCTACACGTGGATGTGCATGTGCCTGTGAGTTTGAACGAAGAGGCGGCTGCAGATGGAGACGTCGAAGTAGATCAAGATGCAGACGTCTATGTTGAGTAATAAACTGTAGGTAGCATCGTGGCCCCCTTATGTGAGTGTGGATGGGTGGGTGGAACGGATGCCGCCGTGGCCCACGGTGCTTCGTCCTCTCCCTCCTACGTACGCTGTGCAGCTCATGCGGCCGGGGCGATCGGCAGTGTCTGCAGGACGTGAGAGGTCAGACAGGCAGGCAGGCAGTACTCTCGCGTTCACAGACCCTGAGCTTCAGACACTCAGGGACGTGAGGGAGACACTGAGCTTCTCGGTCGCGGCCGACCCAGCCTCCGCGCTGCGAACACTGGTGGTGGATTCTGGCGGGCTTGACGCTATTGAACGGATGATGTTGTGCATTCATTCGTTGACACTAAGTCCCAGGGATAAGCCCTGACCCAACCTCGGCGCTTGTGCGCAAAAAATCGATCCCTGGCGGACGAGACAATGATTGAGAACCACTGATGGCGCAACTCCCGGTCCAGGTTCGGCTTCCCGGAATGCGCAGTTGCAGTTTTGATAGAATACGTGGTACTATATTTATCATCGACGTCATCACCAACGAATTGATGAAGCGCAATGCGCAGTCTCCAGAGTCGTCTTCTCAACGCCGCAAACATTCGCGCTTCCCATACATGGGTGGAGGGCGATATACTTTCAGAATCTGCCTATCACAATAGAGCCGCGCACCTTCGTCGCCATCATCACCAGGGGCTGCGTAACACTGCTGAAGACGGGTGAGCATCCAAAAGATGGCCCTTCTCTTAGCTCTGCGCACGCAAAGGCTAGAAGATCTCATCAGATATACGGGTAGGCCGGTCGGGCAGTGCCAAAAACTGCCTCTCACCCTCAGACATCCTTTCGTTTCGCAGCAAGCTGGAGGGATGCTCATCTATACCTCAAGGATGGAGGGAGGCTCATATCTACCTCCAAGCTTACGACTTCCCTGCGGATTCGGATCCCAAAGCTTGAAGGATAAATAGCTACGAGGATGGAGAAGGTACTGAGTAGATTCCGTGCCCCCACAAGCTACGTGCACGGATAGAGGGAGACCCACTCTTCATCGCATCGCGTGCTTGAAACGACCATGAAGTTCGACCGCTAGTGCAAGCTCAAGACACTAATGACTCTCGCATTTCTGGCGGGCGATCGGCGCTGTAGGATGAGCTGTGTATTGACTTCTGCGGAGCGGGGGCTTAGGAGGGGAGGAGTCTCTTGCAGCATTAGTGCTCTGGCCCTTCTGCTCCTTCTTTCCTCCCACCCCCTCCGCCCGCCCCCACCATCCATCTACCCTTCCCCCCTCTCCCAGTCCCCCCTTCCCCCCATCCCCGTCCGCTCCACTCCCTTCCTCCTTGCTCTCCTTGTCCCCTCAACGCCTCTTCCCCTCCTCCATTTCTCCTCCTCTCCCCTCTGCCCTGAGTCCCCACTGAAATGTACTCCCGCTGTGCCACCTAGCCAGCCGACGGCAACCCCGTCAAGGGCCCACAAGCCCTATCCGTCGCGAAAATGCAGCAGAAAGCCTGCGTGCTCCTGTGAGACACAGACGTTCCGTCGCCGACGCTGCAAAATACACGGCGGCGAGCCGACGGGGCGCACATCCATCGCAAGAGAGGCGGCATGCCGCTGTCGCCTCGACGTCGCGCTCCTCTTCCCAAGACTTGACCTCCCGCTGCGGCGCGGCGCACCGCTTTCGCCCCCCAGCGCGTCGACGGTGGGCGTGCGCGCGGGCGACGCGTCGCTCTCGCCTCGGGCGCCGCGCAGGGCTCGACAGCACGCGGCGCGCCCGCTCCTGGGCGCCGCGCGCCCGCTCTCGGGCGCGGCGCACATGTTCCGGAGAGGCGAAGCCCAGACGGGGCAAGCCCAGACAGAGACCGAGCTCCTCGCGTGGACCTACCCCGTATGGACTGAGCCCCCGCCGAATACGTCACTCGCCACGTCGCTGGAGCCCGGGCGGCGCACAGGCGGGCAGTGTCCCGCCCGCCACCGAAGCCCCGTGCAGAGTTCGCGAGAAGTGACGTTCCCAGTCTGGCGCGCGCATGCTCTTCGCTCGCCGATTCGCGGGAAAGCGGCAGAGGCATCGAGGCCGCGCAAGAGCGGCCCAACTATTCTCGCCCAGGCTCAGCGCAGACCCTGCTGCTCTGGCGCGGCGCATGTTCCGTCTTCGCCGTCGCCGCGCTCATCGGAAACTGTGCCACACGATCAATGGCTACCAGATGTTCCTCGCCGAAGCACCACGAGAAGAAAATCTGGGAGTTCCGCCCGCGCCCGTGCGCGGCCCGCGCGCTGTCTGTTCCCGCCGCCACATCGTCGGACTCTGGACCTTCTGCTCGCCAGGTACGAACGCGCGGCAATCCCAGCATCACGTTGTGCCACAGTCGGCTTATACATCATGGGAGAGAGGGAACCAGCGGGGGGGGCATCAGCTGACTCGCTCAACCTGGCTGACCTGAATATTCCTCCCCCTGCTCCTACTCTTCCCACTCCTCCAACTGTTTCCCTACCCCTCCTCCCTCTGTTGCTCCACCTCCTCCTCACCGTCATCATCATCATCATCATCATCATCATCATCATCATCATCATCATCATCCTCCTCATCATCAGCAGCACCATCATCAGAATCAGCCGCACTGGCCTTACCATCGCAGTCCGAATCGCCGTCACAGTCATCATCATCATCATCATCATCATCATCATCATCATCATCATCATCATCATCATCATCATCATCATCATCATCATCATCATCATCATCATCGTTATCATCATCATAATCATCATCATCATCATCATCATCATCATCAGCATCAGCATCATCATCATCATCATCATCATCATCATCATCATCATCACCATCACCATCATCATCATCGTCACCATAATCATCAGCATCATCAGCATCATCATCGCCATCCCCATCACCATCACCATCACCATCACCATCCGCACCACCATCGTCATCAGCATCCGCATCAGCATCATCATCATCATCATCATCATCATCATCATCATCATCATCATCATCTGCATCATCATCATCGTCATCATCATCATCACCATCCGCATCACCATCATCATCAGCATCATCAGCATCATCCCTGTCGAGCTCATATTCATACTCGTCGGTAGCAGCAGCATACCATCATCACCAACATCATCACCACCATACACAACCAGAACGTCAGCACCATCACCAACATCATCCATCATCGTCATCAACAACAACAGTAATACAGCATCAGCACCAACATTATCATCAGCCGCGTGATCCTAATCATCACCCGTAGCATCATCACCCGCAACACGATCACAATATTCGTCCGCATCGTCATCACCCGCATCATCAACATCATCAACACCATCATCATCATCATCATCATCATCATCATCATCATCATCATCATCATCATCAACAGCACCGTCAGCATTACCAACATCAGCATCATCCTAATCAGCAACAGCACCATCACCATCATCATCAACACCATCATCATCAGCAGCATCGACGTCATCATCGTCATCATCATCGCCGCCATCATCATCATGAACATCATGGGCATCGCCACCCATCATCACAATCATAACCAAAATCATCATCAGCATCACCATCGTCACCTTTCATCCGCATCATCATCACCACCATCACCACCAACAACGTCATCATAACTAGCATCATCGCTGTCATCGTCGTCATTTTCATCATCATCGTCATCATCATCCTCCTCATCCTCATCATCATCATCATCGTAAACACCACCTTTCGCCCCCCCCCCCCACCCACCCAGCCTGCTCGGCCCGGCGGCGCCAGAATTGGCCCCGCGCCCCTTCGCCGCGGGGGGCGCCGGGCAAGCGGGAAAGAATACGGTCTGCTAGCCCGCCCACGGCTCAACTGCTGGACTCCCCCCAGCTCGGCACTCTTCGAATTCAAAGGCACCTCCCAAAGTTTAGGGCCCGAACTGCCAGGGCCACGCCTCAGCGATGGCGAGGGACGAAGCGGGAGACGGATGACGCGACGACGGAGCAAGGGGCGCCCGCGGAGGCGGGGGGGAGAAGGGAAGGGCGAGAGAGGCCACGGAGCCAGGAGACATAGGAGAGCAGGGGGAGAGGGACGACGACGGGGGGGAGGGCAGCGAAGAGAATAGGAAGAGGAGAACGAGGTCAGGCGCGAAACACACGCAGCGGCCAGGGCGGGCCCAATCCCTGATTTCCCGCGCTGATCCTGCCCCCTGCGCTGGGGCCGCCCCCGTCGGCAGCCGCCCAATCCCCCGCCGTGCTCGGCGGCGCCCGGCCCTGGTTGGCTCGCTTGCCCTGCGCGGGCTCAGGCCCCCACTGGACCGAACGCGCCCATGCCGGACGCGCCGCGCGCAGGGCTGGCTGTCTGGGCCCACGCGCGTTGGAGCGCCGCGGCGACGCGAGCGCGCGCGCCGCATCGTCGCGACTTCCTCGCCCGGCGGCAGCGGCGCGCGCAGCGCGCGCATCAGCGCCAGCGCGGACGGCCCCAGACGGCCCCCGCTCTCCAATGCCAGCGGCACGAGCTCGGGGCGCGGGCAGCGGGCCCGCTCGGCGCGCCCCAGCACGAGGGCGAGCCCGCCGCCCCGCGAGGCCGCGGAACGGGCGACCAATCCCCTGCCGCCGGGGTGGCCGACCGCGACGTCCGCACGCCGGGTGCGACCTCCAGGCGGCGCGAAGCTCAGGTCGAGCCGCGCCTCGCGCCCGTCGGGCGCGGCCCTCCCGAGCGCGCTCG